GTGAATATCTGGCCAGCTGTTGATGTTCCAGACCTAAAGCCACCCTGATAAGGTCCCATCAGTTGGTTGACTGTGGGCTTTGATCTTTCACACACTGTGGTCAATACAACCACATATCCGATGTTGAGGAGGCTTATCCCACCGTAGCATGCTTTCATTCGATCATATCCTAGGTTATGCCATAAACCTCCTTAACTTTAGTATGCTCCTTAAAAAAAGGTCTAAAAATTAAAATACCGATCGACGTTTAAACGCGCTTTTCTCAAAACACACTTTTTTGAACTGTCTCACATGATTTCGGTCGAACTACTAAACCGATTTGCTTAATTTTTTTTTAATTTTGCACAAAACGACTGGCTATCCTCTCAAAATTTTTTATAATTTACTGGCAATGACAAAATTTATGTAAAAAAATGGGGAAAAAATTAAAAAAAAAAACGTTAATTACTTTTTTATTTATCAACATTTTTTATGATTCTAATAGGGACGATAACAATACTTTAACAGTTAGGCTGTTCACGATAAGGTGGTTATCGGGTTATGTGATTAAGTGAACAACAACAAAATGCGGTATGACAAAATAACCAACTTTGRCCAACCCAGACCSTYGTTTACAGATTATGTGGTTGTTTGCTTATTTCCAGTGTTAGAAAGTCGTTGGAGTTTTACTAAGTGGCAGCACAAAAAATAAATAAAACTAAGCGAATGGCATTTCCATTTATATTTTCTAATTGGAAATTCTGCTATGAACAGCTGTTGTTTGTTTACAATTGCATTGTGACACTGTTCAGAGAGCAAGCTGTCTGCAAATTTTATACAAAGAATCTTTTGAACTCTTAAAATTTGGATTATTTAATAAGCACATACCTTCAATAAAGTCCATTTCCCGAATAGCAGAACTTATTTTAAATTCAATTATGTTGCTTTTTAAACTTTGTTTAGGCATTTTATAAGTAGAARTTTCATTGAACTTAAAATGTAAACAATGAACAGCTGTTTGTGTAAAAATAAGCATATAACCATACAATATGGAATGTTCACGGATCATAGAGGTTATTTTTAATCTAATGACCACGTAACCCGATAACCACCTTACCGTGAACAGCCTAAGTACTTTTTAATAATAAATAGTGTCCGCTAGCGAAAAAACGTATCTCATTCACCCAGTTATTTATCCGGCAAATGTCATCATTGCTTATACACTCCACGATCTTGAGGTATTGATATGTGAAAAAAGTTCTATTTTAGAATAAAAATTTCAATGAAAAATAAAAAATAAAATTAAACAGTCCAGATTACCCTACTGACCCCTTAAAACAGTAAAAGAAAACCAAATAGAAAAGGTTAACACTAGAAAATCACCAACACACCGACAGAGAGATATATATGAAAACAAGTAAGGAAGGGCTAAGTTCGGGTGTCACCGAACATTTTATACTCTCGCATGATAAAGTGATAATCGAGATTTCATTAT